CACACACACACACACACACACACACACACACACACACATATATATATATATATATATATATATATATATATATTATATTATATATATGTATATACAAATACACACACAAACACACACACAACACACACACACACACACACACACACACACATGTGTGTGTGTGTGTGTGTGTTTGTGTGTGTGTGTGTGTGTGTGTGTGTGCTTGTGTATGTAAGCATGTATTAATGTATTTATGCACTGTATGTACGTATACATGTATGTACATACATATCATATATATATGTATATATACACACAGTCACAGAAACATGAGTGCGTGCAGAGAGAGAGAGCGCATCTCCACGAGAGCTAATTGTCCGCATCATTTCCAGGCTCTCGCAACACAGAACCAGTTGTCAACATCATGATAAAATACTATGTTGCTCCCCCGCCCGCCAATATGCAAAAGCCCGTCTCACAAGCCACTTATTGTGACATCTGACCTGGGAGGAGGGGAGGAGGGCGGTGGTGGGGTGGGGGATGGGGGTGGATAGTTGGGTAGGGGTTGGGTGGTTGGGGAGTAGGGGATAGGGAGTGGATAGTTGGGTAGGGGTTGGGTGGTTGGGTATTGTAGGGGAAGGGGAGGGGAGGAGAAGAGGGGTTCAGAAAGAGGTTGGAAGAAGAAGGGGGGGAGGTGGGGTTGCAGTAAAGGGAGGAGAGGGGGGGGGATATTAGGGTGAACAAAAGGTAACAGAAGGGGAAGATGGGTGGGGAGGGGGGTAGTCAAAGGGGCTGCTGGAGGGGTCGGACGGGCTGGAGTTGGGGGGGTGGGGGGGTAGGTGCAGGAGATCTAGGTGCCGGGGGTTTGGGTTGGGGGTGGGGGTGGGGGGAGTGGTGTTGCTAGGTTGACAACTGTCTGGCAAGAATTAGGTTACCTTAGCGGAACGACTGAAGAAATCAGTTCATCAGAAATGGGATTAAAAAAATAGAAAGTCTTCCACTGAATCAGTTCATTCATTGCTTTAAACGTATGTAGAAAGAGAGATAGATATGGATAGATAGAAAAATAGATAGATAGACAATAAAGATGATGATAACAGTAATAACGATAGTAGTACTAATGATGATAGTACCAATCATAAAGAGAATAGTTATAATAGAAATAATAATTGTTATAGTAATAGTAATGGCAATAATGATTATTATTATGCTATTAATAGTAATAATGATAATAATCATAATAATTATACTAATAACAACAACAATAATAGCAATAATGATAATGATGATAAGAATGATAATGATGAGGATGATATTATCATCATTATTATTATAATCATTCTTATCAGCATCACTATCGTTATTACCATTATTACTGACATTGTTTCATTATAATCATTGTTGTTAACATTATCATCACTTATGTTATTGCCATTAGCATCATTATCATTACTACTATCATTATTGTTATTAGTCATATAACAGCTATGATTATCATTTTGTTACTACCCTTATCATGATGATAAATATCATTATTGTTGATGTTATTATCATTATCAATTATCAATATTATTGCTGTTATTACCATTATCATCATTATATTCATCATTACTATAATTGTTATTACTATCATTACCATCGTTATTATCATTGATGATATTATTGTTTTGATCATTATTATCATTGATATTATTACGTTCATTATCATTATCATCATTATCACTATCCTCACTCTCCCCTCATCACCCTCATCATCACATTACCATCGTTATTATCATTGATGATATTATTGTTTTGATCATTATTATCATTGATATTATTATGTCCATTACCATTATCATCATTATCATTATCCTCACTCTCCCCTCATCACCCTCATCATCACCTTACCATCGTTATTATCATTGATGATATTATTGTTTTGATCATTATTATCATTGATGATATTATTGTTTTGATCATTATTATCATTGATATTATTACGTTCATTATTATCATTATCATCATCATCACTATCCTCACTCTCCCCTCATCACCCTCATCACCACCTTATCCATACTCACAACAACACCCCCCCCCCCAAAAAAAAAAAAAAAAAAAAATAATAAAAAATAAAAATAAAAACTAACAAATTCTTATTCAGAGATCTAAAAATATCAGGAATTTCACCACCTTGCACGTTCTCAGCATCCAATCTGTTCCTTTATCTCGAGCAATCTTGATGCTGTGTCTATATATGAATAAATGGTAACTACTTTCACACTGTACCCTTAAGAGGTTGGTCTTGCTCGGCTGTTGTATGTACCCTGGGAGTGTTTGTTTGTTTGTGTGTGTGTTTGTGATTTGGGGGGTTGTGTTTAGGATGGGATGGGGTAAAGGGTAAGTGTGTGTGGGTGTTTGTTTGGGTGAAGGGTAAAGTGGTTGAGTGTTTGTGGTGTTTATTTGCGTTAGTTGGTAGGTGGGTGAGTTTTTTGTGTGTGTGTGTGTGTGTGTGTTTGTTTGCGTTAGCGCGTAGGTGGGT